TGCGTGATGCAAATTTCATCAGCAGTACAGTACATGATATACTGTACACGCACAGCACGACTGTTCTAACTGTGAACATACAGTGTACAGCTTACTCTTGTGATTTGATTTATTTTGGCAGAAATTTCTTTGTCTACAAGATGACAATTCTGGTCCAGGCTAGTGTTTCACAGTCGGAAAGGAAACGATTAGCACCTATGTTGACGAGTGCATTAGTTTAAACTTTCGTTTTTATTGCTCATTACTTTAGGAGAAAAAAGCAGAGACACTGAATCAGAAAGTAACTTCTGTGTGTGGATTTTTGTATGTTTTTGTTGTTTCAGCAACTAGAAACTAGTCACTTGGTCCACCTGAGGTTGGTGTTTCAGTGGCCTGTCCAAACCAAAGGGAACATCTCAGTTTGAAGAACCACAGATTTTTACCACGGAAGAACCACCTTTTCTTACTATCCGCTGTTCTCTGTCAGTTACAGAGAAACACATTTGAATTGTCATTGGTTGGGGGGTTTTCTTTCAATGTTACTGGAGATTGTAGAATTTTTTTCTGTGCAAGTAAATGCTGAAATCATTAGACTTGAAGAGGTAACATTACAACACAAGCTGTTGCACTAACAAGGTTAAAAAGGGCTTTTTAGTTTTTAGAGGTACCATGTCTGACCCATCTTGAGGTCTTCCCATATCGTTGCAGGTATAGACTGTAAAACTGTGAAATGTTTTGGGTTTTCTTCTTTTGTTTCTTTGTATTCTCTAAGGGGCTTTATATAATTTAAAATGATATATTTATTTTTTGTTTTTTCTACTACAGTTGTTTTTAAAGATCTTATGTGTATAATGTTTGGTTAGTTGTAGGTGGGAACAGGGACAGACAGCCTAAGAACAACCTCTATCAGTCACTACATGAATATAAAAGTATTATTTCATTGTGTATTTTACCTGGTTTGTTCGTATGATCTGTTTGAAATGAAAGTGGGCTCTCTGAACTCATTATACAGTAGATCTAATGTGATGCTTAAGCAGAAAAAGAACAAATCCTCC